CCCCAAAACCCCAAAACCCCAAAACCCCAAAACCCCAAAACCCCAGACCTTGTCGGAGCTATTGGAATAATATAATTATTTATAAAATTTATTTTATCTGAATTAAATACCTCATTTTAATCTGTCCAGGGTTACTTTCAGAAGAACTTTCATTATTTTGAGTCCTCATCTTTTCTTTCTCAGTCTTATAAATAATGAATTCATTATGTCTGAGATAGACTCTTTCCTGGATATCCTTTTCATATTCATATTCAAGATACTTTCCTCTGGGGACTTTGTATCCCTCTGGGAAAGCAAATCATTTAGCGTAGCATGGACCTCTTTGACCAAGGCCTTGAACTGAGTCATATCCTGCTGGAGGTTCATCCATGTATTGAGCATGGGTGAGCTTATGGCTCTTACCCACTGCTACTTCGCAGAGAAGCATAAATTTACTTCCATTTGCTTCTCCATTGTTGTCATTACAGTAGTTAACTGATTTTTGAAGCATATCAGCAAAGTATACACCTTTTCCGAACATGTATCCTGTCTTTGGAGCTTCCGGAGGAGCAACTCTTAATCCTTGGGACATTATACCCATGAAGTTACTAATTCTTGACCCGTGGAAGAGCAAGAACTTATTCGATAGATCATTATACTCTTCAAAGTTCTCTCCTTCTCCCTTTCTTTGAATTTTGAAGATATTTCTGATCTTTTTACTAGCATTATTGTTCTCAGGCCACGTTCCAACACAATAATCTTTTAGAATATTAAATTCTTCAGATGCTTTATCCATTTCAGAGATTTCAACTCCCATAGCATCCATACAGTAATCTAGTGGGTTAACATCGGAAGAATTTTTATGTGCTCCAAGTAAGATCTTGGACCCCATTTCGAAGTTGATTAAGTTATCAATCATCTCAGCCTTCTCCTTCAGGATAGACATCTTGTTAATAGGAGGGACAATCTCGTTCTTGAATTGCTCATGAGGAACCATTTCATAAAATCTTGAGCTATGATACCACATCTTTTCTCTCAGAGCAACTATTTTATCTTTTCCTTCCTTGCTAAATCTGTTGAATCTAGCTTCTATTGGCTCCAATTCTTCAAGAATTTCTCTAAGTTTAGTGAGACTCTTCCTTGCTTGGAGCAAATCTTTTCTGTTAATGTTAGAGAAAGGCATTTGGTTGATATCAATTCCTTGGTTCTTGATTCCTTTCACATACATTGTCACCTGAGTGATTTCTCTCATTATCTCCTGAACACTTGGATGCAGCCTACTTGCCTTTGATTTAGTGAAATCGAATGGGACTAAGTAGTCTTGATGAGCGACATTGGAGTAGTTAACGTTGGTTAACTGATACTTCCACCAATGCTTCTTGAAGTTGGCCCTATCTTTCCACTCATTTTTAGTCTTGCTTAAGAAAATACTTTTAAATTGTTCAATGCACTCTTCTTTTGGATAAGGAGTCTTTTGGAAGGCACCTACTTCTCCAATTCTTCCCCATCTAGTGAATAAGATCCAGAGATCTCTTCCTTTATCATAGACAACTTGAAGTTTGTAGAACAGGTAGTCATCTCTCTCGTCTCTACCAATATCAACTCTTGTGAGGTGGCAGTCATAAATATTCTCTTCATCTTGATGAACTATGCAGTCGTCATTGAATTTTCCAGCTGGGTCACATGGGACAAGCTTTTCATTGTCCATGTTCATCTTGACAAGATCTAAGAAATCTTGAGCGTCTTTGAGGTAGTCTGTCTTGCTCCAATCCTCGATCTTTTTATATTTATTCATTATATCTTCTACTTGGAGATCATTAGGAGCAATTTTATACTCTTTAAGAATATTAAGCATTGTTCCTGAAGATTGCTGTGCAGCATAGTCATGGGCTTTCTTATCATCATTATCCGTCAGGTCTCCTCTGAATCCAAACTTAAGCATGTACTCCAAGAAATCTTCATTCTCATATGATCCATAAGTGATAGGGGTGATTATATAATGAATAACAGTCTTTCCAGTATTATCGCTACGTTCAAGATTGATTCCATATTTAGTTTTAGGGATATGAGTCTCTTTCTTTTCTTCTTTAACTTCTTCTTTCTTATCTTCTGGCATATCTTCGTCACTACAATCTCCATCACTTCCTTCAATCTGGTTGACTTGGTTCATAAGTTGTTTCTCAATTTTCTCTTGTCTCCTAATTTCATTTTTATCTGTGATAATAATCTCTTCCTCATATTCTTGTTTTGAAACTGGTTTTACAATCTGAGGAGCTTTCTTAGCTTCTTTAATTGACTTTCCTTTATCAGCGTTAAGTTTTTCCTTTTCAATAACCTCTCCTTTAATTTCTTCCACAAGTTTTGGCTCCTCAGTCCCAGTAGGGGCTTTTGAAATTTGGTAATTTTTAGACACACAGGCAACAACATATTTGACCAACTCGAATTCATTGAGAATAGCCATATGCATGAACATGTCTTTGCCATCTGAGTCTGTCTGGTTCGGATTGATTCTAAGATGAGTTTGTTCAAAGATGTCATCAAGTTTATCTCCTTTATCCCACACTTCCATATGCTCAGTCCTGATCAAGTGGATGATAGGAGTACATTTATAGATGAGACTTTCATTTGCTCCTGTAGTATTTTCATCCTTCTTCAGCTCGTACTCTTCTCTAAAAGCAACATACTCTTGTTCTTCATATTGAGCATTGATGTCAACTCCTTTGGAGATGAGGTATTTCAGAAGATTCCTGTTATAATTCTTAATTCTTTTTCCTTTCACCATTAGATGGATTGCATTCTCACCTTTTATGTTTGTGTCAAAGATAGAACAGTTCAGAAGCTCAAGAGCCTTCACTAGCTTAGATTTTCCGTTCTGGCATGCAAGCATTATTGGAGTGTTTCCTTCAACATCTGTATCGTTAGGATCAAGGTTGTATTTATCAATCAAAGTTTTACAGATAGAATCAAATGCTGAATCTGATGGAGCTTTTGAAAGGGAATGGAAGATACCTCTTCCACTATCATCTTTCATATTCACAGCATTCTTCACAGAAATAGGGTCCATATTATTCAAGAGTTGGAACAACTGCTGATAATTTCCAACTTTAAAGGCATCCTTGAATGCTCTTGTGATTGAATATCCTTTATTTAGCAATAGCTTAGCTACATTATTGAGTTCTGGCTTGAGCACACAGTACTCGAAGTATGATTTTCTGCCAAGTAGCTTTTCTGCTTCCTTCTCTTTATCTTCTTTGACTTCCTGAGTAAACATAAATTCGAAGTCACTCTCTTCACCTTGAACATTATTTCCTAGTTGGGACTGATTCTTGTGAAGTCTAAATACGTATCCATGCAAGTCGATAGCGAAGTTGTTGATGATATATCTATAGCATTAGAAAATAGCTGCTTACGTGATTATACTGACATGCATAAAGTTCAGAGCAACTGATAGAGGTGTGTTGCCATCTTGGTTAGTAATCTCGAAATCTTTTGGCTTCACATAAGCTTTAAGCATCTTTAATCACTCGATAGAACATCTTTGACAGATGTAATGCAATACAGTGTTTCCTTTCTTATCTGGTTCGTTTAGAGTTATTGACACTCCCAAGTTGATAGCTTCAACTAAGGCGTCTGAAGGATCAGATGGGTCATGATTAAATCTCCGGTTGCTTTTCACAAACAGGTAGTGGAGAGGGGTTCTATCTTTGAAATCTTTCTCATTGATATTAGCACCTTTGTTAATTAGATACTTGATAATTCCAAGATCGTTTCCAGGTCTGTATCTGTTGTATGCATGGTGAAGAACAGTTCTTTGAAACTCATCTTTCTTATTAATTTCGGCTCCTACATCTAGCAGTCTTCGAACTCTGTCTAGGTTATTGTTAAAAACTTCGGTTTTGAGAGCAAAGAATCCGTAATTATCAAGTCTATTCACATCAGCTCCTTTGCTTGCTAGGTAGAAGGCTAGATCAACTTTCTGGTTCTGGTAACAGTACCAGAAGGCTGAAATACCGAATTGATCTGGAGAATCAATATCTGACTTAGAATTAATAAACTTGTCAAGGCAATGTTTATATTCGGGTAAAGTTGTATCCTTGGTCTTGATAAGCATAAAGAATGGAGTCATTTTCTTAATATTAATCTCTTCTGTTGATACGTTAGAGTCAAGAATGAAGTCAAATAGGGTTTGAGATGGGAATTCCAAGAGTAAGTGCAAAGCATTTGAGAGCCCAGCATTTCAATATTCATTCCTTATCTTTCCATAACTATCTCTCTTTTTAAATTTCAATCCATTTGTTCCAACTTCTTCTCTATAATCCTTAAGTTTGTCAACAGTAGCATGTTGGTTAGCTCCAAAGTCAATCAATTGTTGTAAGAACTTTGTGAAAGGCTTTGTAATACTATCATCAAACAATTCAAGGGCCAGTTTCTTCTGGTGATTGTTAGGTTGGTTATTAAAGCCACCAAAGAGATTTCCACCTCCAAATCCACCACCGAAGCCACCACCGAATGCATTATTTGCTTGTTGGTCTTTCATCATTACTGACATGTCTACTTTGCTAAAGTCTTTAGCATCGGTAATGTTTAGTCTAACAATTTCTCTTTCTATTCTTTGGAGGATCTTTCTTCCTTCTGCTGTAAACTGGCTTATATATCTCAGGAAAGGAGTGTATCCTTCATCATCAAGAGTATTAATGATCTTCTTTGGAAGGACTCCTGGCTGTGTGGTTTCTATTTTCTCTTCTTCATCACTCATTTCGACATCCTCTTCTTCTTTTTCTTTTTTGTCTTCTTCTTTAGTAGCGTTGATCTCTTTGATGGACTTTTCAATGAATGTGATGATCATTGCTTGAGTATCTGGAGAGAGAATACTCTTGTTAAAACTGAAGAAGGATTCAGGACTGTTGAGAAATGAAAATCCTTTCCACAACATTTGGATTAATTTTGAAATACCATCTTCTTTATCCACAGTGTTAGAGTATCCTCCTGTCTGCATTACCATTGTGATAGCACTCTGACCAGCTTTGTTTTTCTTACCTGGATCAGCATCATTTTTGAGAAGTAGCTTTGCAGCCTTTAATTCAAGTTTATAAGATTGCTTCTTTTTACGTTTTTCAACAAGTCTTTGGATAACTTTAATCAGAGGGGTATTTCCATCAGCATCGGGAATATTTGGATCAGCTCCTTGCGTATCTCCTGTGATAGATTCTTCGCCATCAGCCAGTTTGGGTTTAGACCCTTTGATGATTTTCTTGATCATATCGAAGTTACTCTCATTCATGCTTTCAATAGCGATGTTTAAGAGAGTATTTCCATTATCATCTTTCACATTTGCATTGACAGTGCCTGCTTTATCTAGCAGCTGGTTGACACAGACCAAGTTCCTCTTCATCAAAGCAATTGAGAGAGGAGTAGATTTCCAAAGATTTTGAGCATTAGCATTTTCGAGAACGAGATCAACACATTCTGGGAATCCATAAGCAGCAGCGTAATGGAGAGCACAATTTCCAGAAGTATCTTGAGCCATAGGGTCTGCTCCATATTTTAAAAGAGTTGATGCAATCTTTGCATGCCCATTCCTACAAGCGAGCATCAAAGGGGTTCTTCCAAATTTATCTCCTTTATCAATCTTTGCTTTAGTGAAGGTCAAAAGATATTCAACAAGATCGAGGTATCCGTATGAGGATGCATAACAGAGGGGAGTCATTTTCTCCCAACCTCCAGCTTGGTTGCAAGGACTTCCTGCATAAGACATCAGAGTTCTCATTGTGCCCACATGCCCATTCCTGCAAGCAACTGAGAGAGGGGTGAGTCTCAGAATAGATTTATCTTTAACTGCAGTTGGCACATTCTGGATAATAAAATGTATATTCTCAATTCTTCTAGCAATGATAGCCATGATGAGAGGAGTGTTCATCTTTTGGTCATAAACTCTTAAGTACTGATCCTCGTCTTCAAGAATGAACTCCAAGAATTGTGTGTTTGGATTTACAGCAGCATAAAATATAGGAGTTGCTCCAATTTTATCTTTCATACCCATATTAAATTCCTTCCTGAGTAATCTCTGAATAAGGTCAAATCAGTTAGGATTGATGAATGCAAGATGGAGATAAGTAACTCCTTCAAACTTATGCTTTGAGTCCAACTTTGCAATATCAATTTTACCGTCTTCAAGTTGTAACACTTCTATCATTTCATCAGTGATTTGTTCTTTCGTCTCAGCATCACCAACTCTTTTTAGGATTTCAAGGCACTCAGCAGCAAGGTGTCTTCTGCCAGTTCTGAGAATATGGAAGAAGAGTTGCTTGAAGAAAGGAGCAGCTTGGTCTTTCAATTCTTCATATATCAGCCTTAAAGTTTCTCTTTCTACATTACAAGAGTAAGCAACTCTCACAGCTAAGATTTCATCCCCATTAAGCTGCTGAAGTATAGTTTTGTACTCATCATTTCTTCGAACATCTTGCATAAATGCGTTGTTTCCTTGTCTCCCTCCTCTCATCATTTCTACTTTCCTGACTCTGGTTCCGAATGCTCTTTCGTCGACCTGGCCAGTATCAAATTTCTTCAGATGTTCCCTATTCGGGTTAGCTCTGACCTAAAATATTAAGATTAAAATATTTACCTTTTCTTCCTCTTCTTTGCAGACATCAAGCAATAGCAGTAAGACTTTACGAGAGTTATTAGTGATACATAATTCGATAGCAGTAGACTTTATCTCAGGACTCCATGATTCCATCAGGGATGTTATAAGTTGTTTCTCGTTGATACAGAGCTTAGCTAGATCAGCATTATCGGTCAAACATGCTCTGATAATGTTCCTGTTAGAAGTAGTGGAAGAGTCTTCAAGATAGATGAGATTAGAATCTGCAGAAAATCTCATTCTTTCTTCATCAATAATCTCTGCTTCTTTGTTTTCTTCCTCTCTTTCAACTACTTTCCACTTCTTAGGTCTGATTTCTTTAAGAGTTGGGTCGACTTCAACAATTTCTTCCTTATCTGTGTCATTTATATTACGTGTTTTAACAATGCGGATGCCTGATTCTTCAAGCTCGATATGGATCCTTCTATCCTTATTCTCAGCATCTTTCCTCTTCTTCTCTTCTAGAGCTTTCTTCTGGCCAGGTGTCTTCTTAATCCTCTTAAAAAACTTCTTTCCAGCAGGGGCAGCTATCTGTTTAGCTTCTTCCTTCTTGCTTCCTGGGAGCAGGTTGACTGTATCAGCATCGCTGTCACTATCATCAAAATCAGAGTCAGAGTCTTCTTTATTCTCTTCTTGTTTATCAAGTCTTTTCCTATCTCTCTTATTCTTCTTTTTGCCCATGAATTTATTGATCTTGTCAAGCAAAGGACCACTAAAATGAGTCAGAACTTGCATGATTTTAAAAAGTGAAATGAATCTGGACGCTAAATATCCTTACATTGTTAATAATTTTACGGCATGGACCTCTTCCTTTGGCTTAACTTTTACATTAAGGAGTGCGATCATGTTATCCCATTGCACTATTCCTTCCTTATCTTTTGTGAACTCCCAGTAGTCTTCATTTTTAGTAGTTAGGTCATAAAAATCAACCCAAGCTACTTTTCTTTTAATATTGAGGCACTCTTTTAACTACAAAAGATATTAGAAATCATCAGAATCTTTAGGAAATCTAAGTCAGAAATGTATTTTCAAATAGCTCATTAAAGAGGCTGCTGTGGCGATAGCCAAAACGACAACTGTTACACAGTACATCAATACGTTTATTGCTAATTTTTAGATGCTTACCCTCATCACATAAAAATCTTGCCTCTTGCTTGGCTCGTAGGCAACAATGAATTTGCCTTTAGGGAATCTCTGCTTGATTTCCAAGTCTCTTTTATATATCAGTTCTACAGGCAAGGTTAGAAAAGAACAAATTCAAGATATAAGAATTCAGTGATATTCTGAAAGACTTTTACCTTTCTTAAGGTTCAGCACAATATCATCATTCTTCTTATCAGGGGCTTTGAGAACCTTGACTTCACTAACGGATTTCTTGACTAAGGTCGGATTAGTCTTATCTGGTTCATTATTGCTTTCCATAGTCACAAGATTCATATCAAGGGAAGCAAACGGTGGATCTTGAGTGTTAGACTCGAACTTTTTGCTTAACATTTTATTATTTCTTAATTTTTTAACAAATTTTATCTTTATAAATCATCTCAATTCTATTAAATTCTGAAGGGGTTTTGGGGTTTTGGGGTTTTGGGGTTTTGGGG